AGTTTTTATCTGAGGCTCTTCACTGAATTTCTGGTAAAGTATATGCCACAAAATAACAAAGTTTTTTTTGTCATTTTTAGTAAACCTTTCACAAAATTGTGGCTGAAAAAAAAAAAAGAATTTCCAGCAGCTTTCTAAGACGTGAACGCAAATATTCGATTTTTGAAAATTTTCACTAATTCATTTTATAGACCAAATTAATTGTAACTCAAAAAAATGAAACTTAGAAAACATTTCGGGCAGAACGTGTTGTATGGGTTATAGACCTACAGACAAACATTTGCTACTCTCATAAAATTGGTTACTACCTTAGAAGGGCCCATGTGACAAATAACTGATCTTTCCAATATGCTGGATGAGAATAACAACGATGGTAAACTTGCACCGTAGACTAACGCTGACAGCTGAAGCTGGTGAATAACACAAAGCCTGGGTGCGAAGAGTTGGTATTTAGATATCAGAAACATCTAGACAACCCGGGCAGCCGATTTCGATTGCTTTTATACGTCTAGCACAGATAAGTCAGGCCTTTCGGTTCCGAGCTACACCTTCGGTAAGTGACCATCGTCTACACAATGTAAGTGCCTCGCCTTCTTCGTTCGAAAAGTCGTTTGCCTTCTCCTGAATAATATGTGATGCGTGTCAGCTACCGACAAGGCGAACAAGTCCATTTGCATTTTATTCTTTCGAATGGTGGCAGCGATTGCCAATTTCTAGTATCCGATTTCTAGTATGCCTTACAGGCAACACCCAGATGCACATTTGAAAGTGAGTCCCGGAACTGATTTTTGTTCTGCATAGTGAATTTTTTAAAATCAGGTCAAAAATATAAGTGAAAAATCTTGAACGGAAAAGCAAAGTCAGACTTTCGCTTCAGAGAAATACAGTACTTCAAACTGTCTACCTGAACCACGTGGATGAATTCTGCCACACGCAGCACCAAGGCGTCGATCCTTCTTCATCAGATCCACAAGAAGATGAACACACTGCGGTGAGAAATCCACATCGCCATCCAGCGTTAAAATAAATGTGTTTTGCGAAATGATTTCTTTTCTTATTTCATCGTCCACTTTCATCATTAGCCGATAGCCCAACAAATAATACAGATACATCACCTTAAACAGTTCGGCAAATTAAGCTAACTACTTGAGATAACTGCACCGGTTTTTCGTCTGATACCGTAAAGGCGTCATTTCAGTTTCAAACTATCATACTGCGCGACAAAGTAAGCACGGGAAATTCGAGACTCAGAAATTTTATCGCCCTTAAATTACAAATTTAATGTACATTTAGGTCGGAAAATGAAAAAAAGGTAATCTGATATCTAATTTTATCTCTCACTGCACAAAGTTTCTAGTGCTTTCTATAGAACTGATAATGTTTTTTCGAGCTCGTCACAAGTGCATCAAAATAATATGTGGCGCGTTTTAAGAGGTGTAATAACAAAAGCCAGGTGTACTTTTGTTCAAAAAGTGTTCTGGTTATTTTCAAATCAGTAAGTGTAGTTAGAAAATACTTATTTTACTACTGAAAACTTAGTTTTTATAAAATTCTGCTAACAATTTTTATTAGTGGAATTTACTCAAAAAATACCAAGGATACCGGAACCTTTAAACAGTCAATTTAGGGCTTAAGCGATTTTAGAGGGATGCGCCTATATGTAGGACTCAGCTATGCCAAGTCATCGATTCTAAGCTGCATATATCTCCAATTACTGCCCACTGTCTGTTCCACCACTTCAGACGTTGTCCGAGTAGCACTTCATTTTCTTGCGGCTTCCAACCACCAACACTCGACATCCACCGACTGTAGGCAGGGCGAGCAATATGTGCTAGATTTAACTTCTTTGTGTGATCGCAGTAATTTGCTGCATCTGACAGAAAGACTAATTACTCGTACGATCACGAAGAGACCTTCCGAACATGCTGCACTCCACTACTGATCTTGTTTTATCCAGCCTTCACTGGCCTTTTTCTTTCATTAATTGCCTGGTTTCATTAAATACCTGGTGCGTTCTGGCCTGAGTTTCATTAATGGTCATGTTTCGCATCAGTATGACCAATGCCTTCAAAGCAGTGATAATGAGGTGAGCACGCCTCGGCTTTTAACGCTCTGACGATACTGTGAGACTTGCACTGACCAGCAGCCTTTCTGCATACAGTTCCTGCATACATTTCTGCATACAGCATACAGTCCCCAATTTAACAGCACCTGTATGCAAAAAACTGTCATGGCACACTCTAATTTATCGTTTTCGATGCATTGATTCCCAGGCTCACTTCTTTTATTTCTGCATCGAGTCCTCGCAGCGCTTCATTTAAAAGAGATTTATTCATCAGTAGTAAATAGTCTGGAAAGTGGAGTGTAACCGGCGGTGATGAAATGTAAGCGAGATATGTATCCAGAAGCTCGCATTCTGCTTGTCTAAATCGCTGCTTGTATGCAGTATACCTTAGCTATGCAACAGAAGTGTGCGGCTCAAGACCGAAAGACCCGGTGCAGCTGTAACCGACTTGTGGAACAATCAGAAACAAATGGGCTCTGCGGCAGCAGTGTGGAAGATTGCTGAGAAGGCTGGAAAATGTCATACATCTGGATAAAGTTATATCTAAACAAAAGAAAAACTACCTGACTCCAACGCTTTCGGACGCGAATCTTTTGCTTATCTTTAAGATGAATTGTTAGACGATTTTTTCCAGGCATTATAAAACTGATTCGGCCGCCATAAGGAGTGATAATTTTTTTCGGTGGCTTCAGTCGTATTTGTGTTTGATGAATAGCACTAAATTTTTGATCAATTAGAATATTTAAACTCCCCCTCCCCCCTCCTGCGTTCAATCCTTATGAGGGAAGGCAACTCAGAATTAGCTCCAAGTACCAAATCATCTACTGGCAAGATGTTGGCGGTTTCGACATTTTGGCTGCACAGATCGAAAAAAAAA